CTTCAGAAAAATACCTCACTGTAAAGCAACCTTTAAACCAAGAGAAAATAAAACTCAAATCTAAATCGATATCTGGGCTCATATTACTATATTTAATAATAATAAAATAATGCATTTGTACCGTTCTATGGGCACTTTCAAAGCTCTCAGGACGACTCTACAGAGCATAATTAAAAAACAAGCAACCAAAGAAGCATCAACACAGCTAATTCAAGACTTGAAAAAACAAAGACTTAAAACGACTCAATCCGTTTTGAAGAATTAGATATTGAATACGCCAGTTTAAAAAGGTGGGTTTCAGGCTGGGATTTGAAAGTTGAGAGTAGTCCATAATTGCGGATGTCTCGTGGCGAGACGAGTCAGAGACGGGGGGCAGAAGTGGCTGAAGGCTCTGACCCCATGGTCGGGCAGGCGGGCAGAAGGTACAGGAGTTGGGAAGCAGAGGAAGATCGGAGGGCACGAGAGTCGGGAGTGTAGATGTGAAGGAGTTCAGAGAGATATGGAGGTGCAAGAGTGTGAAGGGCCTTGAAAGGTGATTTTCGATTTTAAAATCGATGCGGTATTTAACGGGAGCCAATGAAGTTGTTGAAGAACCGGAGTGATATGATCAATGGAAGGAGTTCTGGTAATGATACGGGCGTCCAAAATGTTTATATAATATAGATATATTGGCTAACCCTTGGTCAGGTCAGGAACTTATGAACCGAATGTGGTCTTTTGTTAATTAGAAACAATTTATGATTTCTAACTTCATAACTAAATACAAATCTGTAAGATTCAATTTGGAGGCACTGAGCAGCTGGACAATTTGATGTAACATCTCACCAGGAAATCCTTTCTAACTATAGGCTAATGTTTTTGTCTTTGTTCGGCACAATTTATCACAATTGGATTGAAATCAAACAACATTTTGAAAACACAACATGATCATCACTGTTTGATTCCAGTCTGAAATGTGTTTTTTTTTTTTCTCTGCAGAGTGAGCGGTGAGGAGGTGTACGGCCTGACCCTCCCTCTGGTGACCAGCACTGTGGGGGACAAGCTGGGGAAGACCGCCGGCAACGCAGTGTGGCTGAACAGAAACAAGACGTCTCCCTTCGAACTCTACCAGTTCTTAGTCAGGCAGCCAGACGCCATCGTGAAACAGTAGGTGAAGATTAAGCCTGTTGCACAGTGGTGGAAGGAGCAATATGTACCACACAAGTGTACTTAAATACAGTACTTGGTTGTTTTGGCTTATGAATATTTTTGCTTTGTTATTGCAGTTACCTGAAGCTGTTCACCTTCCTGCCTCTGGCGGAGGTGGAGAGGGTGATGGAGCAGCAGAGAGAGGATCCAGAGAAACGCCTCGCACATAAACGTCTGGCCGCAGAGGTGACCAAACTGGTGCATGGGAAGGAAGGCCTCGAGAGTGCAAAGAGGTGAGAACACGCTATATGTGCTTTTCCTGTATTTAGTATTTAATGCTCTTTTATTTATGCTACTTTCTACATTCTAATATAATTCACTGCATTTTGCCATATTATCATATTTTCATTCATTCAAGTGTTTTAGTTTTTAAGGTTCTTTGTTTATTTAAATTTAGTGTAAATACCTGTCTTTAGTGTTCTTTTTTTAATGCTAAATTGTTTCTTAAAAATACTTATTTTTTATTATCCTTATACATTTATTTTTGTACCTACTATTGCAGCTTATTTTCTCAGATTGTTTATGTTCGCACAACCAGATACCAAATCAAATTTCTTGTATGTGTAAACGTACCTGGCAATAAACTTGATTCTGATTCTGATACATACTTTCTTTGAATTGGGTTTAAGGGAGCAGCAACTCATTCAGTTTGAGAATAAAAGGCTATAACTGAAAATGTCACTCTTCTGTGATTGCCCCATGACCTCTGACCTCCTTAGCCGCGTTCACACCGGAGTACTTTTCCCCTTTAGTTCCGTTAGTACCCCTTATGTTGCGTTCACACCAAAATGGAGTACTTAGTGCCGGGAACTTTTACCCCTATTTTTAGTGCCTACTATAGAGGTGGTACTATCCTGGGGAGAACAAAGTACCAATTTCTGATTTGCTGGGCGAATTGCAAACCACGCCCCGTAAAACTCTGAAAAAGTTTTGTGAAGCCGCCATTGTATTTGTGGCATTAGCATTATTAGTACTAGCATTAGCCCCGCGCACCAACGGAGAGAGAATAACTTAGGGCAACACAAAAAAAAAAACATGGTAGCGGTGGAGATGAGGAGGTGTCGGCGTTCTGGCCGGAAGGCAGCTTCTACTTCCGGCCGGGGACTCCGGGTGGCAGAATACGGCTAATTTGCGTAATCTTCCCTCAGGGAAAAGTACTCCGGTGTGAACGCGATTGGTATCTAGTGCCCTGGGGTAATAAGTGCCGGGGCACTAAGTGCTGGAAAGTACGCGGTGTGAACCCGGCTCTTGCACAGGGGGTAATCCTCAGACAAGAACAGTTATATTGTATATTCTTTTTCCAGATGTACAAACGCGCTGTACCACAGCAGCGTGCAGGCTTTGGAGGAAATGAGTGACGAGGAGCTTCAGCAGCTCTTCAGGGAGGCTCCCTTCCACGAGCTGTTGTTGGAGCCGGGGACCACGGTCGTAGACGCCTGTCGCAGCGTCAACGCCATCCCAGAGGGACCCAGAGGGTAGGTTGTCCTGTTTTAAAGCCACAGTCCAAAAGCTATCTGATATCATAATCTGGAGCTTAAATCATCTCACAATATTTCGGGGTCAGCTCTGGTTGAGGAAAGCGACTATAGCACTGTGTTTGGTTAAAGGTCCAGTTTGTAGGATTAAGCTGCACTTAAGAGTGAGGGTTTCAGAAAGCAACACACCAAACAACTTTCCCTTTCAAGCATGTAGAGAACTACAGAGACGTTCTGTTCTGGAGTCAATTGCTTAACTCTATGATCAACAGTACCAACTACGATCTTTAAAGAAAAATGTTGGCAACACAATTTCATCAATAGTGAAAATGCACCTTATTGTCTAAGACTATATAATGGAATACTTTACTATGACTTTTTTTCAGCATGCTATATTCAAACTAAATATATACAATTGATACATACATATATAAATGATGTGAAACAAAGAACAGCATCACTTATTATCTAGCATAAACTGTGCACTAACTGACTGTTTTAATTGTTTGTGTGCAGGTATCAAATGGTGTTGGCGGGAGCCGTGTCGATCAACCACATGTGTGTGGACAAACCAGAGCAGGTGCTGATCCCCAAACTCCATATCTTATCAAATGGACTTTCCTTGCTCAAAGTGGGCAAGAAGAACTTCTACATCATCAAGTGGCTCAGTCTCTGAGGCCGTCACGCTGCTCTCACACAGGACCAGTTTGACCTTACCTTTGATGGACTGATTGGGAAGGTAGGTGACTACCTCTGCAAGATCAGTCATGATGTGGATGGATTCATATTTTGGGACATTCTTGTTTTTTTTGGCTTAAAACCTTGAGTTAGGCCAAATATTGTCATATAAATATGTATATGTACAGACATTTAACTAAAGCTATGGTATTAAAAAGCGTTTGATATAAAGATTGTGGCCTGCTGACTTTCTGCTGCTGCTAAAGAGATTTTGGAAAGTGAACACTAGAGGGCAGCATTGTCCAAGTCATAATGGTGATATTACCCACAGCTGCGCTTCTTCCCCTGCTGACCCAACAGGTAATTAATAGCTGACGGTAAAATGAAGTTGCATAATTTCTCGCAAACAGTATATAGTTCTATTTTAGGCTTATCTTGTTTTTTCATCTTTATGTGAACATGAGGTCCACATGTCTCTTATTGTGGCTGATCTTTCGGTCTTACTGGTCGAAGGTGTAAACTGTAGCACAAAGAAAAGAATGAGGATTTGGATAAATTCCCCAAAAAACACATCCACTTTGAAGATTGTTTGGAGAATCCAAAAATGTGATAATTATATTATTTATTTTTAAAAATGTCAAGGGTTTGGCATTTCCTTTTCCCCTGCAGTACAGTGTTCACTGTGGTGTAAATAACTCGTACTATCAGCATGCTGGGCCTTTGCCTGTCATTCTTTGTTCTTGTTTCTTGCCTTTGCAGACTATTGAATTGGAAAAATATTTTCAAGGCTCTCTAGTTCTTGTACATCTGTTCTTCACTTTTCTCCTGGGGGCCGGTGGAGATGAGGACGGACTCTGGTGTGTGCTGACCTTGACTTACCTCTCAGCTCCAGAGAATTGGTGGGAATACCATATCATAAGGATACCCTTTTACCCAGTTTGCAGATTTGTTTTTACATGCTGGGCATTGTTGGATTGTTCGTGGATGGATGGGGGGGGGTTATACCTTCCTCAATAGTGACCACTACACCTTGAGGCTTTAGCTTTCCAGAATCAGTTATATCTCTCTCTCTATATATATTAATTTTTTTCTGATTTGTATATGTATTTAAGATATTAAAAAAATGTATTGTTTAATTAAAGAAATTAGGCCTTAGATGTATGAAAGGAATAGGGTAATCTAAAATGAAAAACAAAGTTGTCATAAGTCTAAAACTGTTGTGATTTCTCAAAAAATTCCATTGTGCTATATTATGTAAATATTTAAATCTAAGCCAAAGTCAGCTTTTAGAATTTTTTCTCATTTGGTCACTTGCATTGAAAACATGTTAACTGATTAACAACTATTCTTATTGGTCCAAAAGTCAAATGCAACGTGTATTTTTTTAAGAGTGTCAACAAATGTTTAATTTAGAGGTTATGTTGCAACTGTTTTCACAGTAACAATTTATTTTAAACATATTTTTCAAAACCGTCTTGAGTGGAGATGAGAACAACGTTGATTTCGGTGTAGCATCCATACGTGCTGAACGTTAGAGCCTGGTGCAACTAGCTGTTCCCCCTTAAGAGAGGGGGCGGGCTTAAGCGCCTCGACCAATGAGCGACCTTCTTTGCGTTTAAATAGCTCTGTGTGTCAATCTTTTTTTTCCTCCCCCTTTAGTCAATCTCCACTCAGATCCCAAGTACATCTCTCAATCGCCATATTGGGTACTGAGGTTCGTCCACAGTTCCTCTCACTACGGGACCAGACTGACAGAGGCTTCAGTTCCTGGGCACTTTGTTTTGATGAACCGTGGAGACTACTTTCGGCTTGAAAACACCGCGACCGTTACCGTTTCCAGCCCGACGAATGCATGGCATAAGTCGTTTTACGCTTGTTTTGGAGCCTGTTCAACCGACGAGGAGATACCCGTTGTTTTTGAGTGTGTTGTGAAAACTGTACGGCTGTTTGTTAAAAAAAAAAATAGTTTTTCTTTTGGGGGAAAATGTCAGATGTTCGACTATCAAACGGGAGCCCGACGCTGGAGCGGACGGACTCCCGGGTGTCGGATCACCCGAAACCGTCCGCCTGCAGAAGCCTCTTCGGCTCGCTGGATCACGAAGAGTTAAAGAGGGATTTAAAGGGACACTTGCGGGAGATGGAAGAGGCTGCCACCGCCAAGTGGGGCTTCGACTTCTCTAATCACACGCCGCTGTCTCACGGCAGGCTTGAGTGGGAGGTAGTGGATAGCAGAGACGTGCCGAGTTTCTACAACCGGCAGCCGCGGAGGGAGAAGAGCGTCTGCTCCGCCGGGAATAATGTGGATCTAAACGGGAACCATCACTGTGTTGTGGTGCCCGAAGACACGGACAGGGCGGACGGGCAGATGGAGTGCACGGAGCAGTGCACCGGGCTGAGGAAAAGACCTGCATGCCACGGTACTTAATTTGCACCAAAATTACTCATATTTTCACCTCTGTGTGTTAAATTAGCAGGTAGTCCGGCTGGTGCTTATGCAACAGATCGATCACAGTGGGGGTATGTCGCCCATCAGGCTTAAAAGCACTAGGGACATTTTTTTGTATTATCTTATAAAATGCAACATCATGGGAAATGGTGGGCTAGCATGCAGAAGTTCAGTTACATTGGACATCATTTTATTTTTTATGCATTTTCAGTAGTTTTCACTGACTTTTCCCTTTGCCTTTGCAGAGCCCTCGGCCCAGAATAAGAGGTCACACAGCAGCTCAGAGGAGGTTACTTGTCCAAGTCTGAGCCACTCGACAGAAAAAACACCCAGAAAAACCAGTCCCAAGAGGCAAACGTGAAGACCAGAAACGGTAAGAATTACATTTTATGCAACCTAAAAATAACGTAATGGGCTTCTCCATGATGTTACAATAGTTGGTTCTCTATGAGCGTCAGTGTAGACAATTAAGACTAACGTAGCGTCCCCCTCTTCCAGCTGTTTGTCTCGAAAGCCAGAAGTAAATGAAGAAAACGCTGTGAATTTATTTTTTATTTTTATGGAATACGCTGTTTTTCCTTAATGCAAGTTATTTTGCATTTAGATGGAATAATATTCAAATTTGGATTTAAGCTTGTGTGCAGCTTTGACATGCAACGTACTGTTGTCAGGCTTCTCCATTCATATAGTACGCTAGTAATAGTGTGTTGGTGTGAGTAAAAGTGGTTACGGCAGCAGGTAGACTTTCAGTTGTATTTCTTCACTCAAACCTCTTTCGATTTACTATAATCGATGCAAGAGGGTTCTGAGTAAGACCAGGAAAGCCGCGGCTGCACATTTTCACCTCTTTACTACAAGCTGTGCGTGCCACGGCGAGCCTGAGTCTCCCTCTGAACTGTAAACAACAAGTGCTGAACAACAGTGTAGTAGTAACACGTCAGCAGCCACTGCCCTCGGCGCAGGGACGGGAAGGGGCTGGTCTCTGTGAGTGTATGTGTGAGTGCTGCACACACTTTGCACACTAATGTTACAACACACACACATCTGTCTCCGTTGGAGAGTGTGCAGAAGAGCCGCGCAGCTCTGAAAACAAGTGCGCGTGTGGGTCACGGCAGAGGGAGGATATGCATTGTAGTGGCAGGATTGGAATAGGCAACGCAGAAGAGCAGTACAATACACCCACGTCTCCTTTTGTAGTGTATTTTATATTTGTGAAAACTGGTGGTCTTTTTAAGGTAGCACTGAAATATATTCAAAACATGTTTCTGATGAAGAAAATGAAACGCAAGTTTGTTACATTTTTCTTTACATGCATGCTTTTCCATTATGGTGGCAACCTTTTTAAAAATCCTATATATTACTAAGCGTAGAAGACAGTGCAAGTGCTGATCTGTAATCACACCTGCTATTTTTAATCCTGTAAGATTTTGCATAAAGTCAAATGAATGAGCAAACAGAAAAATTGCATGAATTCAGCCAATGGAAATTGTAGTGCATTTATTTTCTTTCTGGATACTGTTTTGCTGCTTTAAAGTTATTCCTCCAGCAAATAGAAAAGCGCCATTTTTTTATTTCTAGAAAACTATGCACTGTTCTCTCAATTCTCACTCATGTGCAAAGGTTTTCTGCAAGTGTTGCATGAAGCAGTTTGTCTCGACCGTACAGCCTCTTACTTTTCTCTTATTCAATTTTCCCCACAGAGCCGAAGATGTATTCCCCCTTTGTACGTGGGAAACCTCAGTGTTGGCCGACTTTGGAAGAGGAACTACACAGCATCAGAAACATATCAGCTCTCCAGAAGACGGGGGAGGACGCTGTTGAAGCACTGAATAGAAACACTAAAGTTGTGGCACTCAATTAAAAAAGTTACTGCCTCTAAAAGCAGTCAATGTAGCAGTGTGCAATTAGGTTTGATTTCCTTTTTTGCTCCTTTTTTTTTTACTACCTGTGTGTAAATAAATATACATATTATATTATATTTCTCTCCATATGTAGCACATACGAAAACATGATTTGAACACAAATCCTTTATGTAAAAAGGTGTGAATTTTGATTTGACTTGAAGAATTGCAGTGTAGTTTGATAACGTGTTTCCAAAATGCTGTTATAATTTTTTTGTTATTTTATTTTCTGAAAAGCAGTGTGACTTGGACAAAGTCCCTAATTGCTACAACTTAAAGAAAATCATGGATTCTTACAGTTTCTTAACAGTGTATCTTCACTCCGTCATCTTCCTAACTCAGCTGTGAAGAACGGTACAAATGTAGCTCATCTGTTTTTTATTTGTCCTCACTTCAGTGTCACGTAGTGCAGAGTCTCATAGTATCCATTGCCCCTGGAAAACAACACAGGAAAAAAAATGTAACACGTCTTAGGACTTCCTTTTGATAACCCCATTATTTATTTTGTGAACGGTGCTTTTAGCATCAGTTAAATCCTGGAATATGACCTATTTTTCTCCTGCAAACCTCAGCCACATTGTAATGGTGTTTGATTTATTGAGGTACTCAGATATTGAAGGACAAAGACCGTACCGAGAGGAGGACTTTACAACACAAGCTGTGCACACTGCACAGCTTGTGTTGTAAAGTCATCCTCTCCCCAACAATATATTTGACTCTTGCATCAGCCTTAATGCTCTTCAGAGAGGAGGTTTGAATGTCCTACAATACCAAATACATGGTTGCTTCAGCATGGTTAGTACAGCCTGTGCGCCTTAATCGACTTCACATTTTTTTGTGATAACTTTTACTTAAATTTTCATTTGTAATTATTTCACCAATGTTGTTAGCCTGCTGAGGATGCAAATGTGAGTGTCTAAAAGCTTCCCTTATTTGCCTAAAGTGTGGGTTATATTCAAAGAGACCAGTGTACACAGCTCGTATCTGAAATACAGTCACCATGCCTGTGTATTTGTGTAAATCTTTGCAATGTACCTTTGTACATAATTTTGTAAAAACACTGAGAAATTATACTAACTTATTTATGTCAAGCTTTTTTTATGTAGAATAAAAATGGGTTTTTGATTACGGTTATCCAAAGTGGCATTTACTTTATTATATTTGTCTTTTTTGTAAAAGCATATTTTTGGTAGTTTTGTTTTCTTATCAACAAGGTTGCAAACTGAGCCTGATAAAATATTTGATGTGCATTTTGTAATGTGGTTATAAAGTGTTGCAATCAATTAAAAGAGAAAATTAAATCTGACTTGTTGCTTTTTACACTTGGTGTAAATACACCCTGGAATGCATACACACACACTGTTTGGTTTTATCTGTTAAACCTTCTTATTCCCCAAGCTAAACCTAATTAAATAACTGCAGAACATTTAAAACAACCTTTTATCACTGTTAAAATCCAAAACACACTTTTGAAAGTTCTTGCAGGCATCCTGATGAATGTAATGATACTCCCTAATATGAATCCACAAGCGTTTTTGTGCTGACTGATGATTGACACTTTGGTTATCCAATGAAAAGGAGTGTGGAAAGCAGACCACTTGTTGCAGCCAGTCACATTCAGTAACTTTTCATGGAAAAGAAGAATGTTAGTGCCTTTAGCTCAGAATACGATCCTAAACTGTTGGGGGAAATACGGCAACTATTTTATTTTTTTAGTAGCTTCAGTATTTCTGTCAGTGTGTGTTTTGGTATTTGTGTGTGTGTCTACACAAGTGAGTGTGTGAGAGAACAGTGTGTTTTCACTTATGATTCTCTTTGGTTTGTTTTAAACTATAGTACATGTTCATCTAAATCTTACATAATTTCTGCTATTAATAAGGTGACATTATTTATATTTTATTGGAAAAATACACATCTTTGCAAAATGTGCTACGAGTAGTGTTGACACTGAATTCAACTTTGGAAGTGTATTTTTTGAAATCCTATTTTTATTTGTTTAAAGAATTCATGATTTAAATATCATATTATATAATTTTATATTTTAAATGCTCGATAGTTATTGATTATATTTTTTCCAAGATATTTAGCGATGGGATAAAAATATTAAATGAGCCTACCGTAAAATAACCTTATAATATATATATTAATCAAGTATAGATCGCCTCCCATCACAACATCCTTAATGTTCCCAAGATACATCACCGGGCAGGTATTTGGGATTCCATAACCCAAAATAATAATAATATATATACACATATATACATACATACATACATACACACACACACACAATCAGAAAGCAAAGTGTTAACCTGCCAACACGATGGGCAAAAGACAAACCCAATTGAGAATCTCCCCCTCACTACCGAACCAAAATCGTCATTGGAACCCGGTGGAGTTGTGGAGCGACCTGCACGCAGGCAACACCACAAAATCACGCGGACGTGCCCCCGAGACAGCTGTCCGTAAACAGCTGACACTAACCACCTCGCCACAACACTATGAAAAAAACAAACAGACGCAACCCAAGGGGAAACGCCACTTATGCCTTTACAAAAGCGTTTCAAACAGCAACCCTCTGATTGGCACGCAAAACCTGACGCCATGTCAAACAGGCTTCCTGAAACACAAAAGACATGATGTGTCCCCCAAAATAGCAGCGCCAAGCCAGCACACAACTGGACCACATCAACTAATCAGCTGCTCAATGACACCATGTGCTCTTAGCACTACACACACTTTTAACCAAACTTTCTACAAATAACCCGTAGAACGAGCCCCCATTTGCTATGACACACCATATCCACGTTTAACAAAATATATTTAAACAAAACATTCAAATCAACCAAATTAATTAAGTGCAAAACAAGCAAAGCAAAGTATGAGGTGTGGATTTCAGTGGTATCAGCAGTGTAAATGCAGGGTAAGGATTGTATGGACATGTGTGTTGAAGAGGCTGGATGCAGCACAGCCACACCCTCTCCAGATGAACCCACAGGGGCATCACATGACTTAAATGCTTCAAAACAACTCAATGTTTATTGTAATGAAACTTTTAATATTGTTTTATTTTACAAAAAACATATCGTCATTGTGAGTGATGTGTGGCAGCAGCAGAGCCCTAATCCGTGACTAAACGCTCTTTGACCCGAGGTAACTTTACTACACATGTGTCTGACTCTCTGTCATGGCACATCTTCTGCTGTAGAAACCAAATGATTGCTCTCACTGCACGGCATCTCCATGTTTCGTCCTCCTGCCACAGACACAGGAAGACAACTGCAGCAGTGTGTGTGTGTGTGTGTGTGTGTGTGTGTGTGTGTGTGTGTGTGTGTGTGTGTGTGTGGGGGGGTGGGGGTCCGGTCCTGAAGTGTGCAGGTGGGTAACCTCAGCTCAGCCATCCACCCCCACTCTGAGCCCAGCCCATTGTCCCAGTGTGTGGGCTTTTGTGTGGAGGGCCATTGTGAGGGGCCAGGGCCGGCCACTGTTGTGTCTGGGGTTCCTCTGCCCAGACAAAGGGCCCGTCTAGGAGCCTCCACCCTGCCCAAACAGAGGCTGACTGACTGACTGACTGACTGACTGACTGACTGACTGACTGACTTGGTGGCTGTTGGATTAACTGATTGATTGGCTGGAGTGTGTGTGTGTGTGTGTGTGTGTGTGTGTGTGTGTGTGTGTGTGTGTGTGTGTGTGTGTGTGTGTGTGTGTGTGTGTGTGTGTGTGTGTGTGTGTCAGCCAATCATCAGTCCTCAAAATGCACCATTGTTAACTGTTTTGAATATTTTGAACAAGAATAAGGAGCTCCTAATGCATTTTTTTTTGTAATAACAGGTTCTTGCATCTTTGCTTTTTAATGTAGTATTTTTTATGTTTTTATAACAATTAATATTATTATATTTTTAATTGATAAGGTATTTTTGAAAACATAAAAACTAAATTGAAGCATATTGTTGTGGAGAGTGTGAAAATGTTGGTTGCCCATGGTTAAACATTTTGTTATCAAATGACAAAACTAAATTAATTGAAATAAAGTGTAAAACTTCCCTCCAAAAATGCAGTTGCTGAGTGGTGTGAGTGTGTTTTTTTGTGTGTGTGTGTGTGTCATTTAGTTAGAGCATTGCAGTGGGAAAACTGGTTTCTTCTATTTAGTGAGAGCCTTTTACAGCAATGAGAGGTGTAAACAACCTTTTTTTATTATGTGGAATTTTTTGAAACATGGGGATTTCTTATTTTGTATTTCTTCATACAATGGGACATCATATCTCACCACACACACAGTGACAACATGTTCTGTTGTTTTTTTAAGCCTGACACATTTTCTTTGTGAAATACACATTTAGAAAAAGGGTATAGCTACTACAAATGTTAGGCTTTGGCAGTCTTGTCAACAGCACCACTTAATCAAATCTCTCTGTCCTGCGTACAACCTCTTGCCAGATAATGTCTCATCATGCAATGTAATTTCTCTCTAAAAGGCTCATCAGCACTGAGTCTTTGCTGAACAACTCCTCGGAGACTATGTCTGCCGAAACTAAACTGTTACTTGTGAGCATTGCAAAAAGGACCACAGATAACAAGGTCAGTTATTCAGAAGGGCAGAGATAAGACTTCCCTGTGTGGCCACAATGATGCAACAGTATCTCTGCTTGCATAAGAAACACCTTTTCAGTTACAGCAGGAATGTCCCTGAAAGCATTCCTGTAACAGTCCCACACGCCACCCAAACAAAACCACATTGAACTTGAGGAAATACCAGTAAGCCAGTCAATCAGAGAGGTGGAAAGCATCGCGGCGTGTTCCTCTCTGCCACATCTTGCATGTGCCAAGTATTCACACTTCCTTGCTATATCAACAGAAACAGGTTATCTTTTCCTGTTAACCGCCCCGGCACTTAATATAAAGTCACAAGTTCCTCCCCATGTTTCCTGCCCAGGCCACAACCCACGTCATCCAGTTATTCCCTTGGCACCTCAGGCTCTGTGAGGCCAAAGCAAGTGCCCACAAACAAACACCTTACATCCCTCTCACTCTGTCTTTTTCTTTGTTTAGTATTCACAAACGTGAAAAGCCTGTGAGCAGGGCAAATTGAATCTCAATAACTGTATTTCTGTTTTCTGAGTGTTTTAAAAAAAAATTAAAAACATGTTTTTGATAAATGTCCCCAAACTTTATTTAAGGTTGCAATACTTCCCTTTTGCTATTTATGGTACGTTTTACTTAAATTGCTGCAACACATTTCTTAGCCATGGTTAGGTACTTATTTGTCTTTATTTTAATTTCATCACCAATGTGTGCTTTTCATTTTATTATTGCATGCCTTGTTTTGTACCTGCTAGGCCACTTTTGCTTTAACACTGTAAATGTCACCGCTGTGGGACTATTAAAGGAATTTTGATTTTGAAAAGCTGTATCAATACAGGAATACTATTTCATTGAATAGCAAATCTCTGACGTCGTTATAGTTCCTCAAATGTGTGATGTGCGAAGCGCGTGAGACAGTCTGAGGGGAAGGAGGGGGGGGGAGGAGAGGTTAGGGAGATACTGCAGAGCATCGAATGACAGATGTGCAGATGTGGTGCAGGGAAGAAAGGA